TTCATCAAAATACTGTAAATTATAGCCTATAAATTAATTTATTGTAAAGATTTAAGCTTGTTTAGTTATACATTTAGTAAATACTATTTCAAATACTATTTTTACAAAGTGGTATTCCGATGCTATAACAGCTTATAATATAGTTTAAATGTTATGGTATTATTTTTTTATTCTATTTTACTCTCTTGCATTCTTCAAAATATGCAGACAGTGCATTATTTGTTTACTTTTTTTTATGTGGTTTGTAAATTTAACTTTGTTTAGTATTTTTTGTGTTTTATTTTGTCGTATACCATAATACTATATAATCAACCTACAATGAATAAGTACCAGGTATCTACTCTACAGTATTTGTCGATCAAGTACCATTTAATATCAATGACTATGAGCTACTTGTTGAGTGTCTATTAACACGTTAGTGATGATAATATTTTTTTTTTTTATTCTTCATGTTTTGGAATGTAAAACATTAGAAAGTTCATTCTTGAGCGAACACGAACGTTGATTTCTAGACTATATCACCATTAGTACAGATAAAAAGATTCTTAGGTGTTTATTATTTAATATTTATACACCAATATTAAGTGTATTGTAGGAGGATTTTATTAATACAATATTATATCAATATTTATTAATATTTTCGTGACTTGGTCGTTCATGAGAATGATTGAATAAATACCTGTGAGATTTTTTCGATAAAATTTACTAATCCATGATACAAAAATATACATTTATTGGCAATATGGTGATTACGATTTTTTAATCACGTTCTATTATTATTGAAGCTAAATTTTATGTAATCACACAATACCAATTAATCACCGTAGTTGCGTAAAAAACGTAGTGAACAATGAAATTTCTTACATAGTAAGTGTATTTCAGGCAAAATCTGAGTGTCAGGAAAATATTTACAACCATCAACAATATAATTCGCTATTTACAATAGCAATTGTAAAAGTAATTTTACAATTGTAATTTTTTTTTAATAGACCTTTGTTGAGTTCATAAAAATTCGTGACTATAAGAGATAAGCGTGCACTTTAAAACTTCATATTTCTAATAATCTAATATTGAATTTTTTTTTTTATTATACTGATACCCGACGACGTGTTACCTGGTTACTACGGTTAAGTTAACAAGAGATGTCCACGAAATCAGAAATATTAATTTAACATTATAGATATTATCACAGCATTTTTTTCCTTTATTTTATTATCACTCTGGAATATAATTTTAAAATAAATTCATCTTTAGAACAATACACGATTTAATTTGATCATATAAATATATATGATACTAAAGTTAAATTTTCAAAGTATGTGATAATCATTATCTGCATTTTCAAAAAAAAAGTATGAAATTGTATTTATAATCATTGATATAATATACAATACGTTATTTTATTCTGTGTATAAATATGTAAGCAAGAATTTAAATATGTTATTATTAAAAAAGTTTCTAAAGTTAAGGTTCAAAATCTATTCTTTACTTTTAAATTAATAAGATAATTTATAACATACAATTAAATAGAGAAATTATAATATTTTAAATGAAGTAAATTAATGATAATTAATTACTTATTTACCGTGGGGATGTATAAAAAGTTATGAGACATTTTCCTTAGGAAGTATAACTATTAAAATAACATAATTACTTAACTAATAAAAATAATATAATTGAAAAGATAGTTTTATAATTTAAAATGTAGTTACATAAAATAATTCAATTTTTTATTCTAATCTTAGAAGTGTTTTATTATGTATGAGAAAAAGTAGTATTTTTATTACTGTGAGGATTATGTTCTATAATATTCAACAGTTAACCTAGAATGATATTAATTTAAAATATAATTATATTATTAGTGTAATATAGAAAAATCATTATAACATCTTACAATAAACTTCATTTTTTAGTTAAAATTTTAGTATTACATTGTCTTAATGCAAGGGCTAAGCCATTAAGGAAAAACAACTTACTTGCTAAATTAATAATTTATTATTTTTTTATTTATAAAATGGTATTAAACAATAAAACACTATAGATAAGATACTTCAATATTGATATTAAATAATGTTAAATATTTTAGAATTAAATATTTGATAATATTGTTAATCTGTTTCACGATTTAAATTATATTTATAAAATTATTATCATGAGAATAGCTACTATAGTGATCCAAATATTGTTCATCATTGATAGTTGTGTATTTTATTTTAAATTAATAAATTGTTTGTCAAATCATTTATTGTAATAAAAATATAGTACAAGTAGCATTACTAGTATGTTGATATTTATTTAATAAATTATCTTCTCAGCAAAATTAATTAATTTTCAAGTTTTACATAGTTTTGTTAATTGTACATAGATATTTTAGTATTGGGTGTAATTTGATAAATAATATAGGCAAAATCTATTACAATAATAAAGTCGTAGCCTATCCCATAAAATATATTCCAGAGTCAGGTTGAGTGCATTATTTGAACAGTTAATCTACCATTTAACGTACAGGAGATTAATAGTCAATTTCATAATAGATCTATATTGAAATTTATCGGGAAAGACAACACATAAAGTAATAATTTAATTAGAGAAGCATGCGGAAATTACAACTACATTCCCTTAGCCTGCCAGTTTTACGAATTTATGATGTCATATATGTATACAATGTGATTATTTTCCGATTCCACGACGCAAAATGTAAAGAATATAAAATAAAAGGAAACCCAACCAAAACAACAAGATAGGTCACACGATCCACTAGGAAATCTAAGTATATACAATATACATATATGCATAATGTATGCATTCCAATGTTTCGGGTAAATACTGTAGTCGTGAATGTAGTACAACCAACAATCGGGGAGCAAAAAGTCATGACAGCGGCGTTGGATGAGAATACTACCCTTGTCGCTTCTGGAAAACAAACGACATGCGGTGTTGAGTTGCGAGGATGTAGGGAATTCGTATGGGTAGAACATCGTTGGATACGAGGGAAAGGCAAAATCAAATGGGCTGGTGAGAGGTATTTCTAAACGACTTTTTTTTTTTTTTTATTATTATTCTGAAATCGTGCCAGGAATACACACGAGCACGTTTCCTTTTTTTTTTTTTTTTGAGCGTTAAGTGAAATAGCAAATTATTTAATCAACGAGCGGGTTCCATATATGGAATAATGTTTGGTTTATTACATATCCATTAGTAAACATTTTTAAAATACATTTACTAAAATAGAAAGATGTCTGCAGTTTTCAGAATTTTAGAAATGTTATTTTAGTAAATGATTTAGTTATTTTTTTTTGTTTGTTGGTGCGAATCATTGAAATTCAGATTTATTTCAGATTAGTTATAAGTTTTGCATTTGAATGTCTGATTTTATAAAGATATAATTATGAATACCTTAAATTTAGTAAATAATAATACCTACTTTAAAGACATTAATAAAATAATTTAATAAGGAAATATTCAATAAATATTAAAAAAAAAAAAATTAAAATAATTTAAATATTTCCCTCCTAATTTTTATATTCTTGTATAAGTTGAAAAACAATATTATTAAACTTGTATTGTGTTTTATGATTAAGTCTAAAGATACGTTATATGATATATCAATAACTATTTTATACGATTTTTTTTCTTTCAATACACTTCTTATATTCAACAATTTTGTATCTTATAGTTAATTTTTACACGTGTTCTACTTTAATTATTCTTATTTTAGTTTTAGTTTTGGTTAAAAACAGTTAGTATATTATTACCAAAATTATTATAGTTTATAGTCTTGTGTACATTAGGAAATGCTAAACAGGATAATTAAATTAAAAATATTAGTATTTTATGTTACATACAAGTTTTTTTTTATGATGTTTTTAAATAATCAAACAATGTCAAGGTCATCAATGTCGATAATTTCTAATAAATTGTTAGTGTGTAATATAATATTGTAAACTAATTTTATTATTATGTAGTTATTAGAGAAATATATTAAGTTCATGCTAATGATGTATTTCTTTTTAAAGATTAGACGATAATTTATTTACTTTATTTATACATGTACATAAATATTTTAAGCGGAACAGTAAATCTATTGTTTATTTTTTATATAACCGACATTTTTTATTTCTTGACAACAATTTTAAAAGCATTAAATGTGTGTTTTAGAAAACCTGTAGTTTTTAAATAAAATTTAAATGATGATTTTTACCTCTAATTTTTTACTTTAAATTAAAAATAATTATGTAATTTTAATGGACTTTAAATATAAAAAAATAACATCAGTTTTTGTATTCTATCATACTTTTTATTTATGTAAATTATGTATTGTAGGATTTCAGTTTATTTTTATTCTTTGTAAGTAATTTTATTTTTTATTTTTTATTACTATATAGGGACGATCTATACATTTTCTTTTAACATAATAAACACAATTTTTGGTTATTGGTAATTAACACTTGTATTACAGTTTTTCAAAAAGAATTACTCATTAACGACATTTTTACCTATGAACTCTTATTGTATAAGTTGTTGCACAAATTTTTTATGAGACGACCAGCATAGTTCTTATGCTATAAGAGTTTGATAGTTTAAAAATGATTGGATAAAGAAGTTGGAATAAATAGTTAGGTTTGTGAATAATTAGATAGGTTAGGTATTAATCAGAAAAATTGTTTAGATTTTTTTTTTTTTTTATTGGATTGTTTGACAGAATCCCCAATATTTGATTGCTATATAGAAAAACAGAATTGAGAATAAGGTTAATAGTATTAAATTATATTTGTACAAAATAATTTCCTCATTGGAAATTGTAACACTAAAATTATAATAAATTAAAAATAAAAATACAAATTTGATCCAGATATCATATATAATTTTATATTTTAAAACATGTAACGATCGTGCTAGTTATTTGTTAGGAAAACGCTTAATATACGCTTATATAAATCCATTCAGTAAATAAATAAGGTTATGTATTTAAGTATTTAAAAACAATTTTGTAATTTCAGAATATATTGGAGAAGTTCAATCCAGGTGCCCGACAAATGATAAATGCAGGCAAGGCATATTTGAAAGCACTTCATGGTGAGTTATGATTCATTTTTTGATAGATTAATCAGTAAACTCTTTTTAATATATATTTTTACGGTCATTGTACCTACATATAAATTAGTGTACTTATATAATCAATTTACATACTTTTATATTGTATTGAAGTTATACATATTTTGAAATAGTAATAATTTATTGTTGTTAGAATAGATTAAACTAATGGTATAATATGATACTTTATATACATCTATAAATAAGTAGTAGAAATTAATTGAGTATTTCATGTAAGATATTATTAATATTTTACAATTTTTAACACGTTAAATTATTAAAAAATATGAAAATATAATAATAGTTTTAATAATCAATAAATATTTAGTTTTTAAATTATTTATTGTATATTATACATTCAGTTTTAGTATAAAAATTACAATTCTTGATAATGACAAGGTTATTTTTATGCATATTAGTAAACAACTGAAAATAAATAGACAAAAATATATACTTAACTTTATTTTACGGAAATGTTACCATATTGTTAAGTTAAATAAAATATAATATGTTATATTTTTTTAAATAAGCTAACGATTTAAGTTAAAGTTCACATTTAAATTCTATGATTTAAAATAATCCAAAAGAATAATAAATAATAACAAACATTTAACATTTTTAATTCTTTAATTCTTTAATTTGTTATTATCATTATTATTTCGTTTAGCCTCAATAGACAATATTTATTTGAGCTGAGAAATCTTGATTTTAACATGTTTAAAATATAAATAATATGGAAAACTTAGTGGTTATGTAATATATTAATTACTTAAGTACTATTATGAAAAATAACTTAATATTAAACATTCAATGAAATAAGTATGATTGACTTCTAATTGTTATGATTTATATGACTTATAAAAATAACTTAATCGACATCATTAACTTTTATGTACTTAAAATCATTGTCCTTGAGATTATTTTATGTGGATATAGTAAATAAATTACAAATATTAAAAACAAATGAATGAAATATAATTTACGCGTATAATTTTGGTTACATTCAAAAAAAAAAAAAAAATAATGATTAATAAGTAATTATAATACTATAATTGAATATTTTGTCACGTTGTTCATAATCTATAGTATTGAACACATTTTTGAAATAAAACAAATTATATACTTATAAAATGTAAACTAAATAATAAGCTAATTTTATTAAATGTAAGGTTAAAGTATGGCTAACTGATAATATGATAGTAATTAAATTTTTTTATCGTTCTGAAATGGTACAAAAATTAAAAAGATAATAACGCCTACGTTCATAGAATATGTGGGTAAATTTTAAGATTTAGACAAACACAAAAGTAAAACTTTTTAAGCTTATATATTTATAACGGATTGGCAAAATTTTTCTAGGGATTTGTAATTGGATTCAACATAGTTTTAAGTACATTTTGTAAATAAGTAGAAACCCGTCAGATGACTCCTTTGAAAATGTCCTTATTCGTCGATACTGGTGTAGAAAATAACGTAATAGGTATATAGGTATATAAATAATATAATATAAATATACGTAAAAATTATATTGGCCGAACAATAATATATTTTCTTTAATATCCCCGTTTGTTTTTTTCGGAACGAAACTCGGCGTTTGTACGAACGCTTGCCGGCTTATGTGAGGGAAAATATAGACATATCATAAATATTTATCAACACTGTATGATTGATGACATGCATGCATATCGTATGCAAGAGCATCTTTATCGTACTCTAGAGTTAATGTTGTCATTGGTCTAGATGGGGTGAAGGATGATTGATATATTCCCCGTGTTTGTATTATTATTAGGATCCCGTCTGTTCCATACTAAACTTTTTTCTCTTAAAATAGTAAAAGTACTACAAATAATATAATTTTCAAGAGCACGTGTGCCATTTATGTGTTTCACGTTTATAATCAAAAAATGATGATATATATTAACTTTATATACATAAAAAATTAACAAAATGCATTGAGTAATAAAAAAAATATTTTTTTATGTATTTGAAATAATTACAAAATAAATTATTATTAAAAAAATTATACTTTAGAATTATATGGATTATTTTAATTTTTAATTAAAAAAATAAAAATCTTAAGATTTGTATTCAAATATTTTATAGATAAATGCAAAACAGTCAAGTATATATCAATTTACTTTATTATCTTAAGTAAAAATGCATCAGAAATTAAAGTGCTCAGTCTTTTTAAAATCAGAATTTTTTGTAATTTATTATTTAAGTAACTTAGCAGAAAAACCCTTGGCGCTCAACGTGTTAATAAATTAATTTTAAATATTTTATAATAAATTATTTTCTTATTTACTTTTTTTTAATTGAAGAAATATATTAAAAATTTAAATTATTGTATTAAGTATACTATTTAAATATATTTTTTAATAATATAATCCTTAGCCAGTGAATGAAATTTATTTACTTATACATGATTAATTTTTTTAATTTTATTTAATACATATTAGTATTAAGAATATAGTAATTATAGTAGTGTTGATTTTTAAAATTTTCTTTTTATAGGTGCTACTTTATTTTTTAAATTGTTTTACTAGTTTATTGGAAGCTCATTATAATAATCAAATAAATAAATAAAATAAATATAATACAATAAAAGATAATCATAGTGATATTTGCGGTTTTTTTGAAAAATATTTAAGTGTTAATTTTTCATAAATTTGTTTGAGCATATGTAATGAATTGTGTATACATATTAATAGTTATAGGTGTTAAAACTAATGGACTATAGGTACATAATATAACTATATTGTATAAACAATGTTATAACTTATTATTATTAATAATTAGTAATTACTGCTATAATAGAATATTTGCTATTAAATAAGAATTAAGTAACTTTATTCTAAGTCAATTAGTGTTTATGATCAATTTATATTGTGATACAAAAATATTAGTTTAGAACAAAAAAGTATTAAATTAAATTTAAAATATATAAATAAAGAAAGAAAATTATTTGTACTATTTAAAGTTATAATTTTTATTCTATAAAATGTCTAAATTTATAAGTAAGATTTATTTGAAATGCTATACTAAAATTAAAATTAAAAATATATTTGTTTGGTTGAATAGATCTAAAATTAATTTTTATGCATAATAGCTGAATTTCCGTTTTTATTTTTATTTTTGAATTAATATTATTTTTATTATTTGGAATTTTAAAAACAAATATAATTATATAACATTTTAGACATGCATATTAAAACGTCATAGTTAACATATTTTAATTTTTAGATTGTTTCACTTAAATTAAATTGATCATAGTGGTAGGTAATTGGTAATTTTTCATACGTAGAAAATCAAAAAGTTTTGCTTGTACAATTATATTTTTTATTATTAATAATTTATGAATTTTCATTTAGTTGGAGCAATTAATCTGATATTAAATATTTATTGTGTTTTCATTCAATCCAAAAAATGTTGTATGACATAAATAATTTTGAATATTGTAAAAGTACTCACTATAAAATTATAAACTGTTAAGTACAATGTTTTAGTTATTAGTTAAAATTTTTGTATGTTCTTTGAATAGTGTATTGCTAGATTTGATATATAAAGTTTTAATAAAATTATAATAATTATATGAAAAGAGGGTAACTGAGAAAAGAAGTAATTGGATTACATGTGTCACTGTAAAAGAGAAAATTGGTTAGGAAAATTGACGCGGAAAATTTTTTACTATTTTTGATTTAAAAACCTTTTAAATTGTCAAACTTTACTATAGTGTAATAAACAAAATTATTTTTAATGGACGGAAAAAATTGAAAAACTGATTTTACGCTGTATAATTTTCAATAAAAAACAGTATTAATTGATATTCTCAATTTAACGGAATAATTGTCTTTTATTGTTTCATTGAAAATTAAATACTTAATAATAATCTTAACAATATTTAAAATTAAAATACTATCTGGTATTTTGTATAATTTCAATAATACTTAATTATACGATAATTAAAATAGTATTAAAAATAGCTATTCACAGTATAAGCTTAGAAATCCTTTTGAATAGTTTCTTAAAATATACATGTGTCGTGTGAAAATCGATAACCATTTTAAGTTTGTACTTAAGCAATTTAATCATATAATTTTAATAAGCAATTAATATACTCAATAAATAATAGTAGGGTTTATATTATTGTATTAATTTAAATAACTAATTTACAAATATTTTGTTTAAATAGTTAAGTATTAAATTTTAAACATTACTAGGTACATACAATGGATTAATATCCAATAATAAAATAATCACTATTTTTAATTTTTGAATATTTTTCTCATAATTTTTAATTAAATATAAAAAAAATTACTCTGAATTACAATAAAAACTAATAAATTTGTTATAAAACACATATAATTATTTTGAGTTTTTTTTTTTATTTCAATTATTTAAGCATACATTGTTAACTAATAATTATTAAATACTATAAAAGTATAAAATAATAATTAATCAACTGATTTGTAAGGAGATTAATCACAAAATACGACGTTATAATTTATACTGAGATATATTTTTTTTCTTAGCTCATTTAATCGAACTATAATTTTGAGTTTTAGTTTTTAATACATTAATTAGTTTACTTTTAAAAGATCTAAATTGAACTGGTTGAAATTTAACTGGACAAAAATATAGAATAAATTAATTTGTAATTTGAAAATATTAGTTATAAAAAGATTTTTGACGTTTGAATACGTATACTTTGCTATTTAATTTGTAAAGATGTCTAGTGAATAATAATTATAGTTGTAATATAACTTGACAGCAAATAATTTAATTTTCCTCTTATGGTTTGATGAAAAATAAAAATGTCATCGCCTGAATAATAATTACATTTTGAACACTTTTTTTATAGAAAAAGGGTGGTTACAAAACATAATTGTATGCGATATATTTGTTATTTTAAAAAACATTAAAGAAATAATATATATAAAAGAAAAAAATGCTGATAAGGTTCTTGAATTGGTATTTTTATT